GGCCAGCCTCTTCTCCGTGGTGCCCAGCAACAGGACAAGAGGCAACGGGCAGAAACTGAACCACAGGAAGTTCCATCTGAACCTGAGAAAAAACTTCTTCACTGTGAGGGTGACAGAGCATTGGAACAGGTTGCCCAGAGAGGTAGTGGAGTCTCCTTCGCTGGAGATATTCAAAACCCGTCTGGATGTGATCCTGGGAAATATGCTTTAGGTGACCCTGCTTGAGCAGGGAGGTTGGACTAGATGATCTCCAGAGGTCCCTTCCAACCTAAACGATTCTGTGATTCTGTGATTACTATTTTTTATTACACTTTCAGTCACATTTCAGTATTCAGGAAGACCGTATTGGACTTTAGAATATTTATCATTTATTTTTAACAATATTTGATACAGAATCACCTGATGTGAGGTAAAAGTCTCCCTACTTGATTCTGTTTAGGATTTGTAGCATAGAGTTATCAAAGTCATTTCAGTATGAATTTTCAAGTATAAAATTTCCAAAATGAAGAATTCAGTGCAGAACTACTTTCCTCTGCAGTCGTCTTAAAGAGTAAGTGATGCCACCTTCAAATGAGGAGGCTTATTATTCAGAGAATATTTATGTTTGGCTACTAGCAAAAAAAAAAAAATTTGTTGTTTCTGTGGGAACAGTGTCCACATTTCCATACCTAATTTTAAGTCCCAGCTAAAACATGATGAACACTTTGTGAAGCAGTTATTTAAAGACTTTGAGATTTGACATGAGGGCCTCTAAAGGTGGATTTTCTAAGAGTAGTATACTAGACTTCTTGGAGTGATGGCCTGTATTTTCTGCACACAGAGTAATAAACAGCTGTGCATGAAAACTTATAGGTGTTGATATTTGGCATTAATACCCTAACCTTCCCCTGTGTGACTCCTGCAGTTTTTCAAAGGAGCAGGAGGTATTACTTCTGTTCCTTTTAACAGGTTAGACTGGAAGAAAGCCACCGTGAGCTGGCAATCTGAGGTATAAAAGATCATAGTCAAGAAAAAATTATTTCAAAAGCTGTTTAATTGGGGTAGCTCATCGTCTTACATTCCCTGGAGTGCTGGCTTTTCCTCTCTTCTGAAAGGACTTTGTTCTGAAGCCTCTAGGAAACAATTGGAGAAACTCGCCAGAACTTGGAATGTCGGAGCACTAAGGCTCTCACTCCATATGCTCATCCAAAGTGGAAAAGAAGTAGAAGCCAGAGGTGAGAGTATCTCTTTATCTTAAATGCTATCAGTGATCTCAGGAAGGTGATGATAAGCACAGTTTCCCCTCTTTATAGTGCTGGCCACATAACTAGATCAATTTCCCTTGGTACAGAGAGCATCTCCAAATCATTTTGGAAAACAGGCATGGTCAAGGTAACTTGAAATTCTCTTTTCTCACTTCTGTGAGGCCACATCTTCAGACTGTGGTGCAAGAAAAAATTTCAGGTCGCTAAGCTCAAGCAACACCTGTAAAGCATCAACACTTGATGGGGTGACTTGAGGGAAGGGGAGAGGGGAGAAGGGTTGAGCCTCAGGAATTTAATCTTCTCTTACATGACATCAATTTTCCTAATGCAATTATGAGAGAGGCCACTCCTGTAACCAGTGACAGCAGTATAAAAGTCTGCGGTTATGTGAATAATAATGTATCTTAAAGTGTTCATACTTGAAGAATATAGTTGACCAGCTTATTAGGGGAGAAATCTTACCTAAATTCAAAGATTCCTCCCTCCCTCTCCAAGAAGGCCGTTAGCATTTGCAGATAGGAGCTTCTGAATTAACACAGATTTAATACCAAAACCCACCATTTTGGAGCAGAGCCCTCCTATTATTATTGTACTATGAACATAAAATTGTCTCATTTAAGGCAATGGCATCTTACCAATACAGAATTTCGCTTAATGTAAGGGAAATAAATGCATCTCCTAGTAGCAAGCAATTATTCTGTACAAAACAAGCATATCTATTAGCAATTGGTAATCAAACTGGCCAGCTTTCTTGTCTTATTCCTTATTTTTCTTCGATGTTTTATGACCATTTTAACGTCAGTTATACTGACAGTTGTAGGCTTGCTTTCTATATATAACTTAACATACACAGCAATGTCTCCTATATATGTAATATATGAATGCCTTCTAAAAGTATTATATTAAGGGTAAAAAACCTTTTTATGGGATTATCTTGTTCTGCAATTTGCTGCTTTGTTTTCCACTAGGATCTGCCCTGCCCTGATACCCTTTTCCTGTTACTTGCCCTACCATCTGTTCCCATGCTCCTTGTGGAACTTCCTTCTGAATCCTTTTTTCCCCCCCTCTTCTAAATTGTCCCTCTCTTCCCACTTCTTTTCTGCTCTTTTTCTTTTATGCTCCTCAACCTTTCTAATGCTCTCTCCAATGGCAGTATCAATCTATTGGGCACCCTAGAAGATCCAACAGTGTGCCTGCTGGAGCTGTCAGGAAACAACACTGGTTTGGGGCTG